CAGAAGGGTTCTGTAATAGGTAGGCACCTCAGCCAGTGGATTTTTTTTCTTTTTAACTTTTTGAGACAGGGTCTTTTTTGCTGTCCTGGAACTCAGTATGTAGTCTAGGAAGCTGTCTGCCTCTGGCTCTCAAGTATTTGGATTAAAGGTATGTGCCACTGTGGCCAGTTGCTGTGAATTCTTATTTCACACCCTAACATGTACTCGTAAACCTTCAGGGTTAATTTAAAGAAGGGGCACACCTACCTCCTTGTCACTTTGTGGAGTTTCTCTCAGACTTCAGCTTAGTTTATTCCTAGGATATACCCATTGTTTCTCACTCTGCCTGATACTAAGTAGGAAATCAGCACACAGACTAAAGAGGCCATGTCACAGGTAATTGGAACTTTTTGGGTTATTTGAGTTTTATGTCGATCTAGGAAAGAATAGAACCAGAAAATTTTCATTCTATATTAGGGAATTTATAAATCTTGGAAGGACATCCATAACATAAATGTTGTAACTTGAATTTAAAAATCCCATGCCTTGGGGGCTCAAATTCTATGTACGACCTTGACATGTACAGGCTAAGATCTACTTAGTGGCAAGACTAGTGGTAGGTAGAACATTCAAGACTGATGCCCGAGAATTGAAGGTAGTGGATAAGGTATCCCTGGGTATTTCTCAAAAATGAAACTTCCTGGCTGGACACTCAACAAGCACTATTAGACCACAAACAAAGAGACAGAGTAGGAACATTCTGGACCAGTCTTTATGTTTTTGTAGGGTGACTGTGAGACCCTCGCTCCTCCCTGGATGCCGAGTTGGCAGACAAGAGGGCCCAAGAAACGCAGAAGTACAAGGGCAGTCCAATCCTCATTTCTGGAGATTCTGCAATCAGGAGAACTCGTGAAGACAGTGTCTACTTCTCAATTGTAAAACAGGCTAAAGTAGGCCACACGGTTCCGATGTTTTCTGAAGTCTTTGTCTGTGGACAGCTGCAATAAAAGAACATTGTCTAGTTCAGTATCCCAGAAAGAGTCCTCTGCTTCTGATCTTCCTGACTATGACGTGGAACCTCACAGTATAAAACCTGTGGCCTGGGTAAAGCCCAACCCAATAGGAATTGAGGTGTAGTGATTTGACATTCGTGATAACTGAGAACATTGCACTCTGGAGTTCATCATGCTAGGAATTGGCTACTTGGAAACTTTTGAGAAGTTGGTCAACATCTTGATGGCAAGGATTGTATGTTTAACTACTTGTTACCCATAGATCCTAACACATATATCCATATATTAGACATTTAACAAATATTTATGGATTTAATCCTAAATTCCACTAGGAAAAAAACATAAACCTAGAATTATGATAGCAAACCCATACTAAGTATATATTCTATGTACTATATGAAATGCTTTTTGCATATTATCTGTTAGTTAGCTTTACAATACGGCCAGATAAATTGTATTATTAAATTCATTTTAAAGATAAGAAAGTCAATACAAAGAAAAAGGCCTAAAGATCACACAGGAAGGCAACACTGAACCCCTGTTTGAAGACAGGTAGTACCTTCCACGCTCTTACTCAGGATGCTCTCCAGCTCTCCAAGGATCTAACACACGCAATATGTCAGAGAGAACAATGAAGGAGGAGTCATGGATGTGGACTGTAGCTGCCCAGTCCCCTGATCGTTACTGTTCTCAGCATCTTCTTAAATCATATAGGACATTTTCCCATGTCTACCCTAAGGAATTAGCAGGTGCAGGTAATCCATTACCTAAGGATCAGATGAAATGTGATATTTGGCCAGTCATAATTGTCTATAAACAGTTAACGCAGATGAGTTTCCAAAACTATCCTCACATTGACATACACACAAAATATAACCTCAGGGGACCATGAACTTTTCAAAGTTTTCTTACAAACTTCTGGTTAAGAACAAATGATAATATAGGATAGTACTTGACAGAAAGGTGCATTAGCAGCCAATCTTATTACCTCAGCTTTTAGAGTTCTTTTTTCTAGACATGGAACCTGACACCAGTCTGGAGATCCAAATTTCATTGGCCAAACAATCTTTGGGGGTAACTTCTTCTCTGGATTGTATGTGCCAGGGCTAGAAATGAACATACAAATATGGTTGATGATGGACCATGAATTCCACCTTTCTTGGAAAAAACAAGACTAACCTTTCAATGTCAGGCAAATGTGAGTGTCATTTCTTATTAGGTTGCCAGTGTTAAAGAGAACAAACCTCAACATCCAAGTAAAAGATGACTCAAAAGTATTTCTATAACTCAGTATCCTTAGCTGAAAGACCAGGTATCTCAGGATTGTGAGTGATATGCGATCCACCATGGTGGTGGATTAGTACTGCCCACAATTTGAACTTGGTGAAATATATGCAGACACAACTTCTCTGCAATCTAGGGAGAAGCAAAGCAGAACCAGTTATTTTGGTTCTCAGTAATGAGATTATTTGTGAATTGCCTGTGTTTGTAAGGTTGTTGTAGACTCTACTGTAAGGATAGTTTAGATGGACATAGAATCAAGACTAATGCTTAAACTTCCTCAACAGAAGTTTGGAAAAGTTGTTTGCATTCTCTGGTTCTTGGATTTCTTGTCAGTTAAGGAAAGACTTTGATCATTTCCCCTGCAGTTGCATCTTGAGTAGGTTCATAGGCATCTAGACTAAACCCCACAGGCTTACAGGGCCCAGATATTCTAGCCCGCCCCTCTTCTGTGTTTACATTTCCCCCTTCTCACTGTACCCTAACCACGATCATGTCTTCCTTTTCTATCTTGTCAAATTTCTTCTCAACTTAAAGAATTTGCACTTGTTGTTCTTTCTGCCTGCGATGCTCTGTCTCCACATAATAGATTAAGTCACTTTACATGACTGGTTTAATCTATTTGCTCAGATCTCAGACCAAGTGACATTTGCTGAGTATTTTTCTTAGTAGCTTTAAACAAAGTCACCGCCAGCTCATCACTCTATCATATCATCATTCTGCTCTAATGTCTTCAAAGGACAGCACTAGTTTGCCACAGGTTCTGGTGTGCTCATGACAGTCTTAGCTTACAGCTACTGTCCCGAGGGAACTGTCACTTGGTTCCCTTCAGTCTTGGAAGTGTTACAGTTTGACTAATAAATTTTATGGCCAGTATTCTTATTACTGTTGGTATTTCCTTGAGTATTTAATTCTGATTTCTTTGATTCTAACATGGACTCTCCAAGAGAGCAGGATCTCTGTTTGGTGGGCATATTGAATTATCTGTGGAAGCCTCTAAAGCACCTGACACATTAGTAAATGTCTACTGAATTAATAACCAATTCTACAACTCTACAGTACCAGAGAAATGAGAAATTAGAGGTCAAATCTTTAAAGATTTAGCTTGGAAAGTTTGGATGTAATTCCTGCTTTATGTACTTCTTTCCTATGAAATGCACAGTAAACAGGAGACATACCCAGGATAAGAAGCTCCCTTAATTTCAGTCGTAAATCGAGGCATCATGACATTAAATGGAGCAAAGCTTTGTTTGTATTTCTCATTGTAAGTAGAAACTTTTTGGTACATTCCTGGATATGGTGTCACATCCTGTAATTATAAAAGGATTGTGTTAGAGGTTGATAAGATACAATCTATATTATCACCAATTATTTAAGGTAAAGCAAAATAATCATTTCATGCTCTTTATAAGTCAGCTACAGTTCAGGGTGTCAAAGATGTAGAAATAGGCCTAAGTAGGCAAAAACCTAAATATGAGTGTGGTACACACACACACACACACACACACACACACACACACACACACACACTATGGGTAAAGAATCAAAGCAAGTTGGTACAGTCCACCACTGGGAGATTTTTATAGTTAGTATTGCTAGTCCTTGACTGTCCAATAGGAGAGTAGGATCTTAGCCAGGGGCTGGAGCTCAGTGCAAGCACATTTGGTCTGGTATAGCCTAGGCTCAGAATTCATCAGTAAAAAGGAGAGAGACAATGATTTTGCTTTTGCTTACAGTTAGACTTGAAATCCAGTCAGACACAGATACACACACAATGAAAAAGTTGCAATTTGTACTTTAATTGACAAGATAGTGTGAAGTAAATAAACATAGCTTCCCTATTTTAGCTTTAGATCATTAAAGCCCTGTTCTGGGTCTATTTCTTCAGTGAACCGGTTTTCACTCTCCCCAGGTTACTTTCTGCTTGCAACGTTAATGCCTCAACTTTTTATGTGGCCACCTGGATCACCTTACAATCTCTGAATGTTACCTTGCTGACTGGCTTAAACCGCGCTGCTGTCCTGGCTCCAAGAACATAACCTTTCGTACTGGCTGGGATCCGAGACAGGTTGTGTGCCAAACCATTCCACTTCCAGTGGAAGGAAAAGAGGGAAGGAGGGGAGGAGAGAGAAGAAAAAACATCAGTAACACAATCGTAAGCGGGGTGAATTTAGAATGTCCCCATGTGAACTTCTCTGCAAGCCATTGCTGTTTTTTTTTTCCTTGTCTTGATTCTTATATAGTCAAAACTGTACAGTTAAACAAACAACACAAGTAACTTTGCAGAGAAGTGTTTCTGGATAGATGAATAAATTGAGTTTCTGTGAATCCCAGTGTCTTCCATCTTCAGAGTCCTGTAACAGCTGAGTTTGCATTTCAGGAAGAGGCAGCCCGAAGACTTGAACTAAGCAGGAAGAAACCGACATCAGCCCACAGGGATGGTGGAAGTGAAGATGGTGCAGGGATTACAGAAAGACGAGGCTTGCATTTAGTGGGGAATGGGAAGTGCTGAATTATGGTCCTGGACACATTGACTCTACAGCTGGTTGCAGACCGGGGCTCCTTTTCATGTGGGGACCCAGAAAAAAAAAGCCACACACAGAGTAATTTTTCTACAGAACACGTGTGTATCCCTCCATAGGAAACTGAGGGGAGGAGAATACTCACGTCCGTTTCTGAGTAACACCCAGGGCCTGTGAGGGGCGATCCCCTAAGAGGGAGAAACTTGTTCCCCAACCAGGTTGGGGGGTGGTAGTGAGGGAAGAGTTTCCTCTGCTGACGTGTTCCAAAGGAGTAACTATCCTCCTTCCCTAAAGATCAAGAGAAGAAACTCCAAGTGAGCTCATGGGTGGAGGGAAGCACGGGGGCAGGTGGATCGGAGGACCCGGCTGCCTGCTCTTACGTGAACCAAGCGTAACTCCACGGAACGAGGGGGCCAGCTGTACGTTCTCCGTGTTCATCTCTCCTGGTCTTCTCACCCTTCCCCCGCTGTCTGTTCTGTAATCCTCTGCTACTCTCCTCACCTACTCTGCTAAAGCACATCGTGCACCTACTCGGGTTCGCACTGTGGCACGGTGTACTGCGTTGCCAAGGGGACGTAGCGGCTGAGAGCCAGAGAGGTGGAGCCTAAGGCTGCTCTGAGTGCGCCTGCGCAGTAGATGGCCCAGCGCACCGGTCACTTCAGAGACGGCTCCTAATTCAGTCTCTGGACTGTGGGTGGAGCCTGCTAGGCACAAAGTGGAAGGGCTGCGGGTGAGAGGGTAGCACGCTTCTTCGGAAACATTCACGAGAAATGCAGTGCTGGAAAGGTAGGGCCATGGGGTTCAGACCGCCCTAGGTCTGAACTAATGGGACCAGGAAAGCAGAAAACAGGCGGTAACTGTGTTGGCAAGAGATGTACAGCTGAACAATGGCAGGAGCAGAGAGGATGGGGGCCCGGGAGGGGAGCTGACAGCTAGGTCTCTATAAAGTCCGTCTTAGACCCATTTTTCTTTTTTCTCAAGCTAGAGAAAGAGAAGGAGGTAAGGAGGGAGGGAGGTACGTAGGTAGGTAGGTAGAGAGGGAGGCAGGGAGGGAGGATGAGAATGTGTGTGTGTGTGTGTGTGTAGGGGTGTGTAGGGGTGTGTGGGGTAGGAGAGAGTAGGGATGGGTGTGGGTACCAGGCTTCCAAAGGCTAGTGGCACTCAGTGGGATAGTAAGAGTGCGCTGGCACCGCAGAATTGCTTAAAACAATAATAAAAAATTCTTTAATTTCCAAGTCTTCGTGTCCTCATGATTCTATTGGTAGGGTTGCTGAGAATTTTAAAACGGTGGAAACAAAGCCATGCAGTGCCGACTTCCTGGCTGACAGTATGAAAGGTTTGCATCACTGAAGATGAGAGCTGCCTAGCCTGTGGGCCCTCTCGTCCTGATGCAAGAAGAAAACGTCAGTGTGTGCTACACACCTTTAAACTTTGTCCTGGGCAGACACTAGCTCGCGTTTTCCCTGGACTTTAGGGTAGCTTTGGGAATTGTGCAAGTGTGAGCAGTAACTAGGCACACTGCCAGCTGAATGCCGCTCTTTGTCAGTTTAAAGATGATCCTGAGTGCACGTGTGTCTTAGGCTAGCCTTTTCTTTAGAGATAATTTTCCAGACTTATTTATTTTACTTTAGTGTGTGTGTGTGTGTGTGTGTGTGTGTGTGTGTGTGTGTGTGTGTGCGTGCAACCAAGTGCCTGGGGAGGCCAGAAGAAGATGTCAGATCTGCTGGAACTTGTGAGCACTGGGAACCCAACTTGGGCTCTTTGTAGCAGTTGTTGGCTACTGAGCTCCCTCTCCAGCCCAATTTTACAGATAAAATGAAAGTTTCTTTTTCTTTTCTTTTCCTTTTCTTTTTCAAGTGAAAGTTGGGCCCCTTAGTACAGACCTTTTATCCCAGCTATTCAGGAAGCTGAGGCAGGAGGATCACAGGTTCCAGGCCTTCTTTAGCTGCAGAGTGAGTTCAGTCTGTAACTAAGTGAGAACTACTTCAAAAGGAGAAATCAAAGGAGGGCTGGTGATGGTGCTTAGATGTGGAGAGAGTGAGTGCCCAGGATGCATGAAGTCCTAGGTTCATTTCCCAAAGCTACAAAACAAGGAGAATGATGCTATTTTGGAAAATTTCAAAATCTTTTTCAGTTGACACATAATTATAACTATTCATACACTGTTTTTGTATGTGTATATATTATGTGATATTCAAATCAGGAAAAACATATCCATTTCTCCAAACATTTGTCATCTCTGTGTTGCAAACCTTCAATTTCCTGTCTTCTGGCTGGAGAGAGCATTCTTTACCTAAACTTCACTGGAGGGATGCCCTTGGCCAGTATAACAGAGTGCTTAAACATCCTATAGTGCACTGCCTGGTTACTCAGTGAACTGCTCTGTGTAATGCATAATGTCCAAATGTCTGTCTACCAAAAAAAAAATTGGGAAAAAGCCAGGAGTATTGGTGTACTCCTGAGGCTAGCCTGTGTTACATGGACTCTTGCTTCAAATGAAAACTTAAAAAAGAATTCTCTCTCTCTCTCTCTCTCTCTCTCTCTCTCTCTCTCTCTCTCTCTACCTATGTATCATCCATCTACCTATGCATCTATCTATATTATCTAATTATGTATCTATCATATATGTATGAATCCACGTATCTGTCATCTCTCGTCTATCTATCTATCTATCTATCTATCTATCTATCTATCTATCTATCTATAAAAAAGAACTAATAAAGAAAACCAAGAATATGGAAGGTTGTTATAAGGAGCTAAGATTTAAAAAAGTATTTTTTTGAGAATTTCATACATGCAGACAATGAAATAAAATCATCATTTTTCCCATTTCCTCCTTCAACTCCCCCCCATACCTCCACTTTACCTCCCTCCCAGCTCTGTAACTGTATATTTTTTTTGACATCTCATTAAGTCCAGTTATGGATGGGGGACTGATCATTCGTTGGAGCACAGGGAAGTATCAGTTGCCATAAGGGATCTAAACCAAAATGGACTAAAACTTGGTTCTAAAAGTCATAGTATATAATTGACTCCAAGAAATCTATAAAAAATAACTTTTGTACTACTACTAATAAGGAAAATATAACTACATATTGGTATTAATTCGATAATTTTTACTTTTATTACTGTTTTAGGAAGTATTAATATATATTTTTTTAAATTAAACATTTTTATTCTGTTTTTGGTTTTTTTTTCCAAGACAGGATTTCTCTGTGTAGCCCTGGCTGTGTTGGAACTTGCTCTGTAGATCAGGCTGGCCTTAAACTTAAGGATATGCCTGCCTCTGTCTCCTAGTGCTGAGTTTAAAGGTGTGAGCCATCACACCTGGCTAACATTTTTCTTCTTTTTTCTTTTTTGATTTTTGAGACAGGGTTTCTCTGTATAACAACCCTAGCAGGGAAGTTAGATGCTTCTCCTGATTTCATAGGAGCTAACAGCCCAGTTGAATTCTAAGAGAACAAGATGGACTGAATTGTTTTGAATAAAAATCATGTCTTTCCAGTAGTCTTCCATCAAAACTTCATCTCTTTATTGTTTATATTATTTTATTGACTCTGGAACTTTTAGCACTGATTTATCAAGGCCTTGAACACACTGTTTATAGGACACCTTTTTTTTTTAAACTCTCAACCTATGTTGTAGTAAATACTAATATTTTCAACCTCTAATATTTCTGAGAATTACATTTGCATCATTAGTGACATAAAACATATCTTGCAAAGTACATTGAAAATAGAAAGCCCATCAATACCTATCATTGTTAGGCTAGCATAGGCAACTCACCAATACCCAGCATTGGTTGTCTAGTACAGGCAGCCCGTCAATACCCAGTACAGATATGCTAGTTTGCTTCAGATGAATCTAGCTGAGAACAGGGAATGAAAACTAGCCTGCACAAATAAAGTGGAGATTGCATATGAAGATACCAATGAAGAAGACAAATGCAGTGATACATTTACAAAATTACTCCCACACCTAAAGCTCGAAGAACATTGCAGCAGAGGGGGCAGAGATTGTAAGAGCCAGAGGACCAGGGACGTTGCTCTGAGATCACGTCTCTTAATAACATCAGAAGCTACACCTGTGAAGTCTCACCAACATGACCTCCCAAATGTGAGCAGAACAAGGCTGACACCAACGAACGTGACAAACTGGGAAAAGCCCACAAGGCTTCAGCCCTATACAAAGAACTCCAGGCATCTGAGTCCTCCCCAGGGAAGAGCATATCAGTTGGTTGTCTGGTGCAAATGGTTAGACCTGAAACATATACACAAGTAGCATTATATGGGCTCGACAGGTTATAGTTAGAAATATATATGTATGTACATATATATATATATATATATATATATATATGTATGTATGCAGTCACAAAAATGGAAAAGAGATCATACGTTTGAAGGAGAGCAGGGAAGGTTATATGAGAGGGTTTGGAGGGAGGAAAAGGAAGGGAGAAATGTAATTAAATTAAAATCTCAAAGCAAGAGTTAAAGAAAACAGAATATAGTGGAAAATGTAAAAATAATGCAAAATAAAAAACTCTAGAGAGAAGTAAAGGGAAGTGGGGAGGACCTGGGAGGTGTTGCGGAAGGAGAAATGTATTGTGTGAAAAGAATTTCTTTTTAAATTAAAACTTTGTATAAAGTTTAAGAAAAGCAATGGGATGCAATGGCTTCTGGAAGAAAAAGAGGGCACTAGTAGGAACAAGGTCTGGCCTTTATCATTATCGTAATAATGCAGCAAAGGTGCTTTCTTAATTTTGATAATGTACCTGATACTGTACATTATCAAAGGTACTGATAATGGAGGAAACTGGGTAAAATTTTGTGAGAACTCTCTCTGTATATTCCATAATATTTTCTATCTGAAATGAAATCCAGTCTGACCCTAAAAAAAATAAAGACAAAGAGAAGGAAAAACATATCAAGGAGGCACCATTACTCAGCTTATTCTGTAACCCTTGCAAAATCCTGATTGTAGTATTTGCATTATAAGAAAACCTTTGTGAACATAAATAAAAAGAAAAAATGAAAAAAGTTGAACAAATCAAATGTAATCTGTCATTTCATGACCAAGTTGTAGAATTCAAGGTTTGCTGTAAAATTTAAAAGTAAAACAAATATAGTTTCTTATATTAACAAACTAAAATGTGATGATCTCAGTAGATAAAATATCATAATACCTCATAATCTGAAGCATAAATCATTTTGTAAATTAGGATAAGCTTCCTCAGTCTGATATTATTAATGATCAACATGTACAAAATGAACTTCATGATAAAAATA